ACTGGTTGTACACACAGAAAGTGACAGAAGAAGCAGTATGAAGAACAAAAAAAAAAAAGAACTTAGGAAAGAAATTTAATTCCTCCCTGTTTCTCACCTAAAAACACATGAATAAAATTGCTGCCAAAAAATAAGTATACTTAAATCGTTGGTTTGGGGAAGGTTACAAAAATTGTTGTATATAATCCATCTAGTTCCGACGTTGAAAAGGAAAGGGTGAAGGAGCTTTCAAATGTTGTTCATCAGTCTCACAAGCACTTCAACTGAGTTATACTGGTACTCTATGATCATCCCTTCAATGCAATCACTCAGAGGTTTAGAGGTCAATAGTGTCCTTGTGTATAAGTAAATGAACCCAGCAACCTTATCTCGCAACCAAGTGCAAGCTGGTTACCTAGCTTCCTTTAAAGTGCAGAGATGCTCAGTTCACAGCCAGCCTGACAGTGTTGCCACAGCTTGATAGCATTAACATACAACATACAGATTTTGATGCTGGGATGTCAGCAAAATCCAGTGAGGTGCCAGTCACATTAGGCCAGATATCAGCAGAAGAGCTGAGGCCTCACATTATGTGATCCTAAAGAAACTCAAGTCACTTTCTGCTCCTTACTTTTAGTTTACATGCTTTCTGGAATGTTTCATTAGCCTCAAGTCTGGTTCTTTGATGAAAAGCAGCAGAATCTTTTCATGAAAGTAGAAAGAAAGTGACCATGAAGTGTAGACAGCCACCTTTAAAGGCATAGTACAGTGGCAGTGATTTTTCTCTCCTCTTCTTCTGTAACTTTCCTCTCTTCTCTTCCCTAAACCCCCATTTCTTCTCTCTGTTGATTCTGTGTGTCAGCAGGGAAGCAGGGTGCTGTACCATGCAGATGTAATCTACACCTCTCCGTGCCAGACAACAGCGACTGAATTGCGGCGGGCAGCCGATCCATGACATGCTGACAGGATTGGCATAGCGACACGTGCTAGTATCTGCTTTCATGCAACACATCCTGGGGGGGCAGGAGGAATATGGTAGGAGGCCAACTTTTGTATTGTGTGTGTAGGGGTAAACATGAGAGGTGCTGGAAATGCTGCACAACTGGGTGTGATGACACACGGCTTGGCTGACACCGTGTTATAGAGATCTGTAAAGAGAGTGAATTTAAGTTGGGTGGAGATAAGAAAGAAGGCCCCAAGTGAGAGGGTGAGGGGAGCGTGTGAGAGACAAAGCATGAAATAGAAGGAGCAGGTTAAAGGAAGTGCGTTGGACTAACTGGGAAGACAACCGTGGAGGTGGAAGATGAAAAACGGCAGGATGAAGTTGCATTTTGTTCCAGCAGCTGTGATCATGGTGGAAAGTCCATGTGTTTGTTTGCTTAGTGCATGTCAACAGAAGCACGAGCACTGTGAATTTAGAAACAGAGCCAAGTGTGTTTCTGTGTTTATGTGAAAGCAGAAGATTTTATATGTGTCAGGATTTGGTGATGGTAATGTCAGGGGGAGCTTGTCTGCAAGAGCGCTTAGGGAATACAAGCATGAGAAGCTGTTGTTTGCTGTCTGGTTGCAACATGTCAACATCCATGAGGCATCATTAGTCTAAAGCTTAGTCTGCTCTGCCCTGGGCCATGAGGGGCACAAATGTAGACTTCACATGGAGGCCAAAGGGCACTGCCCCGTGAACATAAGGCAGAGCATTCAAAAGCACTGCCTCGAAGGTTTGACTCTTTGTCTTTTGACAAGGCTCTCATCTGCCTGCCTCTGAAAAGGAAGTTTTTGCAATGAATGATCAATCTATCATGGCCTGAAATGAAGTAATACACCAACCAGGAGAGCTTTACACTGTTTATTTTGATTTCCATCCTGCGCCGCTGTGTCATAAAAAAGCCACTCGGTTCCATGAAGTCAGAGCAGAAGAGAGGCAAATATATACAGAAGACACAGATGAGCAGGGAAAACACCAGACAGCAACAGTGCTGGTTTGTTGTTTCCAATTCCCCTAGCACTTAGAGGTTCCCTCCAGCACAGTCTCTCGCTGAAATATTAATCGCATTTGACAGCTGTTTTAGCTATGAAAACAAACATAAGACTGCAGCTCTTTTGGAAAACACAGACATAACGCCCGAGCATGGACTGGCTCAGATAAGGAACAACTGTTATGGACAAAAGATGAACAGGCACGAGACAGCACAGTGTTGAGGCAGCCTCATTAGAAATGAGCTGCTGTTTACCAGTGTGACTTTATGACAGGCTGTTCTGTATCTTAGCAGTCATGTCCCCAGGCCTAGATTTGTAATGTACTAAGTGGAAAAGTCTAAAATGTGCATTCAGATATCAGCAGGTCAGAATTTGAAGAAGTACATGGCTGCTCTGTCTGATGACTCTCCTTTACCTTAACACTTCAACTATGTCACAGCAGCCCCAATGTACTTAATATGGTAGCACAACAATGAGAGACCGTTTTGCACGCACACACACATATACACATAGCTCTAGCAAGGCAGAGGCAATTTGAAGCATTACCCTGCTTGATAGCACATGTCCACTGAGAGATAGGGAGTGATTTAACGGACACTGCTCACACCAATTAGGGTGAATCAGCCAGGCAATGCTACTGATGACAAGTGGATGCCAGCATTGTCCGCACGCAGCCACATACATATGCTCCCACACACACAGCGGAAAGGGGGTATTTCACTGTTTCTTTTGTGATTAAGAGCATGAAAATAGCCCATTTAGATAATCCCCCCCTGTCAGCACTGTCAGCCTGAGAGACACTGACACATCCCATCCACTCATTCTCTCATTACCATACGCCAGTCATGTGGAGAGGACTGACTACAAGGCCTGAAGAAAGAGATCAAGAGAATAGCCACCTGCTTCCTTTTCGCAAGAGCCGGGGCCGCTCCTCGTCACTTCGCCAGCCAAGCCTGGAGTGACAGGGCACAGGACAAAGGCCACAAAAAGGGAGAGCCAAGGCGCACCGGGAGACACAGCCACATAAGAAAGAGGGTGCATGCAGAAAAGGATTTCTATTTGTGCACCCATTGGAGGAGTCAGGCCCTTGAGAGCGCCTGATTCATTTCTTCTTGAGGGCTATTAATCTTCTCAAGCACCAGAATCAGTTTGCCTCTCAGGAACGAGAGATGAGATTGAGTTTTCTGTTACAATCAACTAGAGGCAGTGTGTCACAGGGAGAGAGGGCAATGACGACACTGTCCTTGCAGCTACCTTTCTCATTTTAAACAAAAGCAGACAGGGAATACATGATCACACAAGTGAGATCATTTTGAAAGGTCACAAGTACATACTGCATTTATATAGTTTCTTTTTATGAGCACTTTATCTTCACAGACACCCAACCTGAATGATTTCAAATGAGTCTACAATATGTTACTTCAAATGATCAAATCCTTCTTCTTTATGTAAAGCTACCACTGATGGCATTTTAAGCCACAAACCTACCGTTGCTTTTAGCAAGTTCCTTTAAGCTTATTTTGTCAAACTATTACCATCTCCAAGATCGTGAATAAAAAACTTTGTTTCCATTGTGCAACACTAAAAACTCTCAAGAAAGAAATTCTGGTGTGAGCCACAGATGATTTGCTCCTCCCCTAGTGATTTTATTTGTGCATTTTTCAGGTACCATTATGCAGATAAGACTTGTGAACAATGCTGCACATGCTCTGGTTGTTTGTTCATACATGACTTGGTAAAGAGCAAATATATCATTAGTAGGATGGACCTCCACTATTAGACATGTGCTGTTGATAATGGGCTGATTACCAAGGTGGCCCACATTACTCTAGTTTTCAGACGCATGAGGGTTAAAGGTCACACTCACTACATGGGTAAGGGACCTATTTATCAAATCTAAGTCAAAACAAAGCATAGACATCACATTAATTAGCTGATAGTGTTGTGTAATTTATCATTCATTAACACGTGGTCTGGTCTCTTGAAAAATGTCACTTGCAGAGTATTAATTGCAGAAAAAACAAGCGAAGAAGCCGCAGATCAGAGATGGCCTCACTAATGAAGGAATATGGAGGCCACTTTAAGATGAAATATGGCAATAGAGCCGAGTTTCACTTAATCAGTGTGAAACCCCAGAGAGGGGAGGGAACCGCCACCTGCAGGGGACGCAAGTCCCCAGACTCATGTACCAGGAATGGTTTAAATGGGCCGACAGTCACTGCGATGATGGTGCTCGCTCCCATGGGGGAGTTGTCTCTTCTTGGGAGGTGCTTAACACTGCCATCCATCCCTAACACAATCCAACAGACAGCTTAAAAAGCCATCATCATCACCGATGGCCCTGGAGCTGCCTTTATTCACCCTGGAAGAAAAAAACCTGAGGCAACACTGTGGCAGTGCTTGATCAATCCCACTGTGAGCCAGATATGACGCCGTTGTACAGGGACATGGGCACGACTGAGCTGGCCAGTGTCCGCTTGTCTCTGCTGGCACTCTGCTCCTTTATCTTCCGGACGCTGCAGACCCCAGGGCGCTCTTATCTCTCCAACAAACGGCTCCTGTGCTGCAGCCTCGTTTGCAGCCCTCATCTATCTGCCTGACATGTGCTTCCTTGTTTGTTTCCTCTCTGCTGCTAGACGCAGCCCATGATATTGAGCTGTGTCGACGATGCCAGATGAATCAATCACTCTTGGAGCTCCGTGGCCCTGTTTAGTGCCGACAGAGCAGTTTCCACTTCAGTCAGTGCTTTGGCTTTAGGTAGGCGTTAGTGTTTTTCCTACTCATTAGAAAAAGAATAACTCCCTCAGCGTAGCTCTGCCAGGCACTTTGGCTGAGTGATATACAACAATGAACAATGACAAACACTTGTCAGCTTCTGGAATGGCATTTCTGTTTGGTTTATTGGATGTACAGATAGAATTTGGTGGAAATACACACGGTAGCAGAGAAGTTCTACATGATTAGTGAATGTGTACTGAATCAAATTCAGAGATACTCTTGAATTACCTTGAATAATTAATAAGGAGCAGAAATAATTCAACAAGTCAAACATAGTACTTTATGTTCAAAATGTATAAACACATTCGCATAGCAACTTAGATACAGAGCAGCAGTAAGAGGAAAGTAAGGTAACAAGCAAGACAAAAGCAGGAGGAGGCTGGGCTAATTCTTCTACCTTCTAATGAAATGAGGACAACTAAAAGCACACATGCTCATTAAACAACTGGAAATGAGGATTTCAATGAAGCTTAACATGTTCATCAATTGAGAAAAAATTTGCTATAGAAAATCTGGTTCTTCTTCTTCCTCTTTATTTAAAGCACTAAAATCATCACTTAGTATCAAAGAAAAGCAGCAACAATTAAAAGAAAAATCAAAAACTGGCAATGAAATCATTAAAAGATAAAAAAGTCAAAACACATTTTCTTAGAACACTTACATGAAGTTAACAGTTCAAAGTTCATCAAGTGGCATTCGAGTTCCAGGACACTTTCTGTCATGAAGACAGTGTCATCATCAGCTCATCGTCTTCTTCCTGTGTCTGAACGATGAGCAGTGGGTTTCGGCGAGGGCTCAGCTCTAACAGAGTCCCACTACTGCACCTCCCAGGTGTTACTTCAGTCTTTGATGCAGCACTGCTCAGCTGTGAGCTGTCTCTCTCTGCTTTGTAGCCAGAGTCTGGAGAGACTCTCAGCTCCTCTGCAAAGTGCTCCCCCAGCTCCTGAATCAGCTGACTGGAGCCTTCTGAGGCTGCGGGGAAGGCGTTTGCTTTCCTCTCCACTGAGAGGAGTGTGCTGGCGGGCTCCTGGGGGATGGGAGAGGCAGTGGAGGTGGGGTGGGGCTGGAGAGGGTTGTGCTTAGATGTCCCTCCTCCTCCTTCTCGCTCACTGGATTCGGTGCAGCCTTGCCCTACAGCCTCAGATTCCTCACTCTCATCAGACTCCTCGTTGCTGGTGCAGCTGCTGTCGCTGCAGGATATCAGAGCATTCTTGGAAGCACCCTGCCCTTCTTCTTCCACTACCATTGTCGCTGCCTCCTCCAGCTCCTCAAGCTCCAGCTCCAAGTCTTCTTTCCGCAGGGAAGCTTTTTGTAATGTTTCGGCTAAGGCTGTCACCTTCTTGGACCTGTGAGGATGAAGAGGGGGGAAAGGGGGACAAGTTAGGAGAGCAAGAAGTTGTTTCACTTTGGTTTCTTAGTACAGAACTGGTATATGACTATGGAAATAGTAAATACAAAGAGACATCCAGCTATAACTTTATCAGTGGTGCTCACAAGAGTGGCTGATCAACTGGCTCTGTGTACTGAAGACATAGCTACAGGATAACCATCTACAAATCTAATATCTATTAACCAAATCCCATTCTCGTCTGAATGCTAAGCACACTGTGATTTGTTGAGACGCAGGGGGCTCAATGAAATATGAAAAATATGGATGTTTAATAATGTAGGGAGATGAGCAGTGCTGATACATGAGGCTTGGGCTCTTCTCCTCCCCCTACTGCTGCTCTGCATGTGAGAGGTGATAAGAGACTGAAAGGGATTACAACGAAAGGCGGACCCCTCCTCCTCCTCGGTCTGCACATGCAAACACACAAACACTTTCACCTCTGTTTTCTGAGCGGCTACACCAACATTTAGAGGCTACAAACAATGCAAGAGGAGAGTTACTAGCTGTTATCAGGCTATGCTTCCAGCGGTTGAACTGAACCTTTCATACCTTTTTTTAAAATGAATTCCAGAGCAACCAACAAGCCCTGAGAGTATTTCAAGGCACACCAGAGACAGAAAAAGACCTTTACAGTTGGTTGGATTTGAATTTGTCTATTTTACTCAGCAATCAGGCTGTAGTGGAAACAGATAGGATGAACACAAGCACACTGTGAGAACAAACCCTGCAGAATGGAAGCAGTGGCAGTTGTGCACAAAGTCTGACTTAAAAACCTCGTAGAGCCTTATCATCCTAACAGAGCACTTCGCTCTCAGAGTGCAGGTTTACTTGTGGTTCCTAGAGTCCACAGAAGTAGAATGGGAGGCAGAGCCTTTAGCTATCAAGCTCCTCTCCTGTGGAACCAGCTCCCAGTCTCAGTTCGAGAGGCGGACACCCTCTCTACCTTTAAGATTAGACTTAAGAC